CTTGGACCAAGTCCCCAAGGCGGTAAGCAAGTATCTGGTCTGGATGGTCTCGCCAGTGGACAATTGAGCAGTCCACAAAGATGAAGAGCTGTCGAACGATGCAGACTCTAGTTCAGTGCTGAACTGCATATACTTTCGCAAGTCATGGCGCTTGACCACATGCTTTAGATAATCCCAAATCTCCTTCTGAGATACATAGTGATTTGGCCATGGATACGTCAATAGATCCTCTTTATCCCAGCTGTATCTGTATACTTCACTGAGGGAATCACTGTTGGCGCCGGGATAACGGTTCCAATACCATGTGCCGCCAACATCGGTAGCCTTGTCAATTAATTTGACCGAGAGTCCAAGCTCCCGGAGCTTATAGAGTTGGTAGATTCCGGCGAATCCAGCTCCAACCACAAGGGCGTCGATTGATGGCATGGTAGATCAAGAGTTATCAGAGAGATGTTGTTGTTGAGTACTAGATATTGTATGATCTATTTGAGAAGATTGGTAGAATGGAATCTGCTTTATAGCAGAAACATATCTCTCGTAGGCATCGCTCAAGAGCAGCATTGCCAACTTAGAATTTGTAAGCGGGTCTGGTTAACATCCATTCATCCACGGAGACTCTTCATGGATTGCTAATGGGCAGTGAATTAGGTACATCTCCCGACATATTATGTACACATCTAGCCAAGGCATGCAGAGCGATTTATCTAGTATTTGTAATAGACGTTGGGCTGGAAGCTTTCTCACTTCATCGCATTCGTGGAACTTAGTAGTTGCGGAGCCACTGGCATAAAATCGTTTATTGTTAATCAAATTACTGGATTTATTCCTTTCGGTGTTAGCATAAGTGATCGGAGATCAAGTCTGACCCAATCTTTCCGGGAGGATTCTCAACGCCCATGCAGATGATTACTCGGGGTCACTGCACCATTCAACCTATTGGCGCAAGAATAGAGATCTGGTCAAGATATATGATAGGGCTTAACACATGTACGTGCTGAATATAAGCTATAAGGCACTACGTAGTGAGGATGTACAAAAATAGTGGCAGTATGATACCCTGTCATGTGTTATGGTGATGTTACGCATTGCCAAGGTTATGAGTTGTCGCCCCTGGGATCATGTTATTGGGAGTTTACTGGAAATAATGTTGTGATTGTGCAATTTATGTCCATTTCTTGGCAATGTAACAGAGCTCTTTTCAGAGCCATCAGGGGGAGCCTCAACCACGTATTAGGCCCCTGTTTCTCTTGCTTGACCGGGAAAGGCAACATTGAGACGCTTTCTGATTCTCTCTTGAAAATCACGCCACAACGATTCGTAACAGCGTATTATCCACTTTAAGCCTCAAATTGATTGCAAAGCATAGAGTTAAATGTGACGTATTCATATCGTTCAGTAATTCTTGGAGATATTAGTGGAAGCGGCATACACAAGTATACATGCAGTCTAACTTGTTGTAGAAATCTCTATAACACGAGCACCACCTCTTTGGAAACTTTGCCTGACAGATACACTATTTTATTAACCATATCTAGTAAAGCGTTTCGAAGCTCTAATCTCAACAGGGTAAAGTGTGTCATAAGCTAGTTGTGAATAAAAAGTGCATCACAAATTACATATATTTAAACATATCTTGTATCTTACACAACGTCAGAAGACTATTATCATATTGGATCTAAACAGCGGCTTCAACACATAACGTTAATATGTATCGATTCATTACACGCATACAGCTTTGAGCAACGCTCTCGGGGCAGCAGCTTCACCGCCTTTAGACGGGCATCTTTTAGGCAGCTATGTTCGCATAGCCGGGCCGTTTTGGAGCGGTATAAAGTAGCTCGCTTACACAGGGGGCTGTTTAGCGTAAACGGCATGTAAATAATAAAAGTTATAAAATATTTTATTTATTTAATTATATAGCTTCATGTACTCGAACTTATATCACACTTTGCTGAATGTAGCTAGTGAAACAGTGGCTTTATCACGGGCATAAGAGGTGCCCCTCGAGCACATTTCTTCCCTAACTGGGAAAATCCTTTGCATTTCAATGACCGGCTTCCCACTGGATAGGCAGTGGACGTAAAGAACACAGAGTCACTTCAAACAACAAATCCAATCACGTATATAAAGATGGTGGTGATGTTGGCTGAGGTCCAAATGGCATGATAGTGCTTAAAATGTACAAGAACTCACCCATCATTCAGGATTCAAAATACCAACAGGCATTCCCAACGGCGTATCTTGAATAACCAGAACCTTGCTCAAATAAACTCTTGCAATCGCTTGATGGTAAAATCTCGTCAGCGTTGCTTAGAGGGCCTTCCTGGTTAATTTACTTACGCGTCGAAGCTTTGAAAGTGACATTGTTATTGAACAGTTGGTTGGAAAGAAAACGAAGGCGCGCTTCAAAGCATGGTATTGTTTGATCAAAGGGGTAATTTCGCAACTTGAAGTGAAAGGTATGACCCTAATAATGATTACCTAACCTAAATTCCGGAGATCTGTTTGATGAAGAAATGTGGCCAGACTGCATAAAGTTACGAGGGTCTCTAGCCGCCACTGTGACCATACCATCAGAAATCGCTGACTGTCCAAACGAAATATATCCGGATGCGACCATCTATGCAGAGACTGTATGCCGAATCTCAGAGGAAATGAAAACTCCCCAAAGAAGAAAAAAGAGCCGTGACTACTCAACATCTTAGGTCGCTCTTAAACATAAACTTTCCGTCAGACACACATACTTAACCCGTGTCTAAACTGGTGAACAGAAAAGAAAAAAGTGAAGAAGCCCCCATATGCCGCCCAAAATTCTAGTCGAAATAATTACACTATGCATTTCCTGGTCCGCCCTTGGTCCGCAGTTCAGCTTACGTCTAATTACCTACACACACGTAGAAAAGTCCACACCCTCCTCACCATAGTTCGGTGCTAACTTAAATATCATTGTGTTCAAACAGGATATTTCTCGGGACTCATTATTATATATTGGCTCTTAAGCTATATATCTAAGACGCCCGTCCGTACATATCTATACTGACTACAACAATGAGCTGGATTTTAAAGTGACTCTCTTCCTCTTCCCACCTACCTCGAAGTATCTACTTCAGTATCTTGCCGGGACAAAAGGTTCAATCGGGTCTTTTTATCCCTTTGAATATTGGCAACATCGAAATTCAAAATCGAATTGGAATGGCAGGGATCAGTCGGTTTCGGGCTGATGATCAACATGTACCGACGGATCTAATGAAAGAATATTACTGCCAGAGAGCCTCTGTGCCAGGAACCCTTCCTATTACCGAACCTAACCTCATATCAAAGGGGGGTGGTGACTTGCGAAATGCACCGGGGCTGTTTACACGCGAACAGACAGCTGCTTGGAAAACCATTGTCGAAGAAGTTCACATGAGAGCAAGCTATATTTTTGCTCAACTATATGTTCTGAAATACGAAATGCTTGGATAGGAGGTCATCATCAGAGGCCCTAGTACCAGCTCCTTGGACACGAATTTCCATACAACAAAGGCTATGAGTGTTAACGAAATCAAGGATACTGTACAGGACTTTGTACGGGCTGCCAAGAATTCAGCCGAGGCGGGCTTTGACAGCGTGGAACTTCTTGGTGCAACTGGCGGTCTCATTGACGCTTTTATTCAAGGAAGATACTAATCAGCGTGATGATGAGTATGGCGGTACCGTTGAGAATCGGTCTCGATTTCTATATGAGGCTATGGAACCCGTGGCTCACGCAATTGGGATTAAGCGAGTTGGACTTTACCTAAGCTCAAGGAGCACTTCCCGGGACATGCAACTAAAGGAAAGAGCTGCTCTCCAATTTACAGACGGTTTAAAAAGAGCAGACGATTTGAATATTGCTTACATCCACTTGACTGAGCCCTGCTTGGCAGAGTGGAATGGCATTCGAGATAATGAGTGGTTGGATTTTGCGTGCAACGCTTTCAGAGGACCAATTCTTGTACAAGGCGGCTATACTTCAGACCTGCCCAGAAAGATTGTTGATGAACACTATCCAGACAAAGATATTGTAGTAATGTTTGGAAGATATTTCACGGATCTTGTTTTCAGGTTAGAGCATGATCTGGAGTTCACTCCATATAGCCAACAGGACATATTCGCCACCAAATCATTAAAAGGATATACCGATTACGCATTCAGTAAACGATACCTTGGAAGTCTCAGCGTGTTGACTCAGTTGCTCTGTTGAAGAAGCTGTGACTGAAGAAAGCTGGTGGTAAATGTGTGATGCCCTCGCAATATTGCCATGATTTAGCTATTGGGAAATCTCCCCCCTTTCAGATGCTCTATTTCAGCTGTTTTCTGCTATATCAAGACTCTTCCTCTAATATGATATCTACTTCCAACGGTAAGGCTAGCAGCTGAAGTTCAGCTATTCATCAATAACGGAACTTATGTTTACTCACATGTGTGCCAAGGACTTGAAGCCACCACTGTTTTCTACTCTTTCTGAAACAGGCAATTTTATCATCCATGGTATATTCCAAGTCTGGAAAGATGTGTTTGTTAGCTCGCGGGGATGCGGGGCTCCCGCGTGGTTCTGAGATGCGCGTATTCTGCTCGTGTAAGCAATTCTTCCAACGGCGCTGCCGGGCGAGACAAGGGAGAATTACGAAAGTTGAACGAGTGGGATTCGAGTTAAAGCCATTGAATTCGGGCAATGCTTACATGTAAAAGCTCATGAAGAAACTCGAGAATACCCCAAGTATCCGTTTTCTAATGTCCAAAAAGGTAGGGAGCATAAAGTTAGTTCAATAACCTCTTACACAAGATCTATAGTTCCAAAGTTCCACTCAGACGGAAGTGACGGGTATGTTGTATGGTAAAATTGAATCCATTAATAAGTGCGACAGAAAGAGGGCAAGATATTGCGAGTTTGTGTTGAAACTTTGTACCATTATATACGTCATTAATACATGTTCATCGGAAATCTGCGGAGTCTATCTATTCTGCCTATATAACTATTACTTTTGGCCAAAGGCCTGCTGGTCGGCCTGCATGCCCTTAAACACCCAGTCGGCATGACGTTGCTGGTACTTTGCAGCGCCTTCCGGGTCATCGCTCTTGATGCCCAATACCTTGGGGATGTGGAATCCTCTAGTGATAGCAGGTCTTGCGCTCAGCATTGCTTCCCACTTTTGCAGATTTGGGAAAAGATCCAAGGGAACGTCCACGTAGGGGCCAAAGATTACCCAAGACAAGGCCGCGATGTCTGCAATTGAGATGTGATCTCCCACTAAAAATCCAGACTTGGATTTCGAAAGTTGAACGTCAAGGACATTGTACAGCCGCTTTGTCTCAGTGACATATCGGTCAATACCATACCGAATTTTGGTGGGCGCATAGCGGAGGAAATGGGACGACTGGCCTTGCATAGGTCCAATGCCTAAACAGCGACAACAATTAGTCCATTGGTCAGATGCTGCGGTTACGCAAGAGGGAGAAGGGAAACCAAAAGGTCTATTGGACTCACCTCCATGCTGGAAGAATAGCCAATTGTTGCATTCATAGTACTCTCTACTACCCTTAGGAAACGAGAGTTTGTGTGTTCGGGATCATAGCGATCAGTCAGGTATTACAAGATACTTCCACCTTCAAACACTCTAATTGACTCGCCGTCATCAAATGTGTCGACAATGGCAGGAATGCGGCCATTGGGGTTGATCTCAAGATACCATGGCTCCTTTTGGCGAAGAGTGCTGATGTCGAGGTGCTCTAACTCATAAAGGAGCCCAAGCTCTTCCAGTGCTGTGGTGATCTTTATGCCATTAGGAGTTGAGTCTGTGTATAACTTGATATGCGGTTGAGGTGCCATTGTGGAAGACTTGTGATAATCTAATTTGTTGGTATGAAGAAATGAACGCTTTTGTATTTGAACGCTGCTTTGCAACTTGTGGAAAATCTTGTCGCGAAGGTCAGGTTGAGAGCCTAGCATATATATACTTCTCAAACGAGTTGAATAGCATTCAAATATGCTAGCAAACAGCTGCTTAGAAATACACGCAGCAAGATACATTGTGTACTACAGTCACTACTCACAATTAGTCGTTTCCAATTGCATGATATATGACGAGAAGCTTAGTATACTCCATTATTCAAGATGTGATAATCTCATAACCGAGACAGCTAATGCTCTTTAAGGCAACTCCTGGAAAACGGCCTATTTCAGGCAAGAGCCTTACATCGTTACCAATCCACGCACAAGAGACTTTCAAAGAAGCAAACAACTGCGAAGCTGAATAAAAGCATTTGACTTATTATTTATATTCTCTTCTATCGGATTTTCATTTAGTGAACTAGCCAGCACCTTAAATTGGTCATCCAGCACCCCAAAGACTGCGTGAGGTTCAAATGTCGGAACAGGATACAAATGGACTTCCTTTGCTTACTCACTCGCCTATGTATCTAGTAGGTTCCAATTTCCAAATACACATAATCTCTTTGTTTCTTCAAATTCCTCCTACTGTCACTATTATCTGATACCCTCATCAACTATGGCTATATTCCTCCCATTTCTGGCAATACTATGTAGTTTAAAAAACACCGAGACACGGGATGCTGGATAGCATACTATTTATAATTACAGGCGCTGAATTGGCCATAATTTAACTTTAATAAGCAGCAACTGCTGACAAACGCCTTCTATAGCAACTATTTATCTGGCGTAATTGATGACTTGTTCGATAATGGACACAGTAGTTCCCGTTCAAAAGTATCACTTATTGCCATCGGCCTGGAGAAGATGGGCCTTGTCATGACTTTTCTTTGCTATCTTTGCCGGTCTGGTGGATTGCTCCCACAAGCCATAATACATCCAGGACCATGAGCTAGAATCTCAAATAGATGCCTTTCCGATCGAATCTGCTTCCAGCGGAGATGGTACCTTCCTAGTAAATGACATCGTCCCATAAACGTGCATGATTCGAAGTATCAGTGCATCATTGTATTTGGATGTGAAGATGCTTAACCCATGAGGGCGCCCACTAGGAAGCAGATAGCCTAGGGGCATAGTGCCCATAGGATAACCTACGTTGAAGGTTAGCATAGGAACTTTGGGTATCATGTCCCCATATGTTCATACCTGAAAAGGACGCGAGCTTATGGATATCGCTATCAGTCGGCGCTATGATAGCGTCGATATCATATTCCTCCAGTACGCGGTCTATACTCTCGGGACCGGCGGCTTGGCGGACGTCTCTAACGGCATCATCCACTACAGAGGCGGGAATATTATACTTTAATATATTGACTAAGGAGTTTTGATTCGGGCAAACTAAATAAATTGTTAGGTTTTGAACTACATCAAACATATAAATGGGGGTTGTTTACCGTCAGAAAACTCCAGGCCAGGGTTCTGTTTGCTGAATTCCACAATATCTTCGAGCGAATGGACCTTAGTCTCTGCCAGATTATGTAGATAATCAGCAACGATACGCTTCCAACCGCCATCTGCATCGAATCAGAATGAATTTTATACCACGTGCTTTCTGATTCAACAGAGAGACTTACAGCGAATCACTTGGTAGCTGCTTTGACCTTCAAAGGTGTACTCGGAAGGCTTCTTGATCTTGATTGGAGAAACAATTTTCGCTCCTAGGCGCTCTAACTCGCTCATTGCGTGATTCCAGTGGTCTCGCTAAGAATTATTAACATCTGATCCAAATTGGCCAAGCTCTGACAGGGTTAACCGGGCATACTCGCTGCTGCAGGTACATTTCGTCCGGCTCAAGAATCGTTGAGGGGAACTGCCAATCATCCAGTTCGCCAAATCCTAGACGGAGCCCATTGAGAGAGCTCGAAAACTCTGCTGTCAAACTCTTTCCGGCCAGTGGACTGCCAGGCACTGTGAGAAAGAGAATCTCAGTCAGGGCTGCAAGATCTTGCGCTGTTTTGGCCATTCCTCCAAGACTGTCAAAGGCATTTGTCAGCTTAAAGACCCCATCACCCGAAACCATATCTATTGTCGGCTTCAAGGCGAATAGTGATGCTCGACTAGCTGGGGTTTGGACAGATCCATCCGTTTCTACTCCAATAGACCATGGAGTGAAACCGGCTCCAACGGAGGCTGCGGAACCACTGGAAGAGCCTCCTGGCATCTAAATTCGGGATTAGTCAATATCAAGAGCGAATTGTAGTTGTTGGGTACTGACACTATGTCCGAGTAAAGTGTCACCAGGTATGGCCCCCCCAGCGATGTAAGGAGACTGGGTTTGGCCGCCAATTGGGGACCAGCCTATGGGAGAAGACCCAGATCTACATTCGAGAATAGGTTAGAATGATAAAGATACAGCTTGGAAATAATGGTGAAATCTGTTCACTTATTGGTTCCAAACTCCTGTGATGTTTATTAGCTGTGTCGAGGCATGTTGTTTGAGTATTGGCTACTTACTGATAGATTTGCTTTTGCCAAAACAATTAGTCCTTGTCCGAGAAGCTACGAAGACCTCAATTAGTGAGAGTAAACATTTTGCTATACTCGAAATATGCCAGATGGGCTGTCGGACGCAGGGCAACCGCCTAAGTTGTGACCCTTTGACGAGTAGGTATTCCAACAGTTGTGTCCTCCGATAAAGCAGCCCAAGTCTCCATATGTCCTTGTAGAAGATGATTCAGACTTAAAAAGACATACCACGTCAACTACTAATGCGTTCCTGGCAGGTTTTGCGGAGACCATGGCATATGAGCCTAGTGTTGTTCTCATTCCAAGAGATGGGTCGGTGTTTATCACGTCCTTGATAGACGTACAGATTAGTCTTCATACAATTGACGACACAATGTGAAGTAGTGCCAGCATACCTTTAGTACGATTGGTATCCCATGATAGTCTCCACGGAGGTTGCCTGCAGCTCTCTCGGCATCCAAAACATCCGCAAATCCCAGGAGCACCTCTTCCGGAGCAACGTCGATGAGTGCATTTAGCACCATTCCTTGGGAGTTATGTCGCTTGATTTGGCCCAAATAAGTTTGAACTATAGCACGAGACGTTATCAGTCCTTTGTTAAGCATGTCTTTGAGGTCTGATGCAGTTGTCTTCAACACATCGATGTCTCCCATGCCTCTAGTAGAGGAGTCAAAAGGAACATCGCCGGCAAAGCAGCCCGGCGACTTGGGCAGACACAAAAATGTATTTCCATATCCCAACGGTTCGTATGATAGTTGATCCGCCTCTGTCTTGTTGGAGATTGACTCCGTATATCGAAGCTGGTGAGACATGGCTCTGGGGCTATAGTGGGCCAAATTTGCTTACTCTGTAAAGAAGAATGGTCAAGAGCAATGATGCTTGTAAATATACAGGCATGGATTTAATAGCCACGTGGCATGAAAAAAAAAAGAGCTTTGTCCTTCAGATGTGGCCAACGAGGGTCAATGCAGCTTTCATTGAACTTCGAGGCCCCCCGCACCGGCCAAAGATCAGGATTGAATATAACAACCAGACCTTGAAGACAGTAAGTAGTGGGAAATTGGTCTGCCTTCTACATGTAACTATTGGCTGAGGCCAAATCATTGGCAAATGCCCTGAACCCTTCTATAGCAGTAACCTATCTATTTGCCCTGAAGTATCCACTTTAGAAAGTTGAAATGAAATCCATAAATGAGATCCATAATTCATCGTTCGAGATTCTCAATCATTGGACTAATCAGCCGACTAACCAGAACGCAGCATTTTCCTTATAGGGGCTTTGAGCAGACGGGCCCTATAGCTCATGGCATTGGGCTATAATACACGCACATGTACCTACATATATGTCGCATTGAACGTCCACGTAGCGCTACAACACCCAACATAGCGCTGTACCTTGCACCAAAATTGATCATTGGATCCATTCTGACTACTAGGTACATACAGTTTTGGGCGGCGATCATTATTGGTGCCACGTCTATCATGCTATCATTGGTTCAGGTTATTCTTGCTGGGGATCAAATCAAGTCAAGTGGTTAGAGAGTATAAGCAGTTAAAGAGAAGGAAAAGGCGGTGCGAATTTAACCAAATAAATATTTCTCAATGGCCTATCACAAACAAACGCGAGACAAGGTGACAAGCTTTCCGCTCTTTCTCCAGTTAACCGCTTGACTTTATGATTAGAATAGAGACAAAGGAAGTTCAAGTTGAGTACATTAGAGACCTCTCTAAGTACGAAACCGAGAAGCCATTCAATTTATCGTTCTCCTCATACCACGAAGGACTCACTACCAATGCCGAGAAAGAGGAAAAGGGCATTATCGTTGAAGATGTTCGAGGGCAAGAAAATCGATTTAGCATGGAGAAACATTCGTTTCGCTTCCTCAAGTTTCCAACAAAGCACCTAATCGATGGGACCGACGATACAATGTTCCGTTATCTCGAGGAGACTAAAAATTTTCTGCTTCAAGAACTTGATGCTGACGAAGTTATATGCTATGATATTCGGGTAGGGTGTCGCATGTCCCTGATTAATGCACTTAGTTACAGAGTTGATGGCTGATACTGACAACAAAGCGTCGCCGATCTGGCATAACGGCTGAGCCGCAGAATCCAGATGGAAACTATTTTGGAGCACTTGAAGATGCTGCGCCGCCAGTCTATAGTGTGCACGTTGGTTTGTCAACCAAATATGCAATCGCAGACGATGAAGTGCGGATAATCAATTGATACTCGGATGCAGATCATACACTTGAGGGTGGATTTCACAGAATTGAGAGACACCTTACACCAGAGGAGTCGAAGAAATATATTGCTGAAGGATGGAGAGTGCGGATTGTCAAGTCAGTGGATCTTTTCCCCATTTCTATTTGCATACATTATGGGAGGCCACAATCTTAAAGCTGATATTATTGTATAGTATCTGGAGACCTCTTCATACGGTTACCACAGCGCCGCTTGCTGTCTGCGATGCAAGGTCCGTGGCCGCCACGGACCTTCTGGAGGTAGACCAGATCAATGAATCGTGGTATGGAGAGGTCTTTTTGCTCAAATTTAACCCTGATCACCAGTTCTACTGGCTCAGCAATCAAACTCCAGATGAGGTATGCATGATGCTCATGTTTGACTCGCACAACGGAAAGGCCGAGTCAGACATGCACTGTAAGTTGGCACAAACAACCTTCACACGTATGAAATTAGGGCTAATTAAACAGGCTGTGCACACGCATCATTCAATGACGCAAAAATGTTGGTTACCGGTCCTGGAAGAGAGAGTGTGGAGGTCCGCGCCATCGTCATAAACAGTCTGGTCTGAGGGGTAATGAGATGGAGAGACCATTGTGCCACACAACATAGACATTTTCATCAAAGCTTTCAGATAGTCTTCGCTCCCAAACAGAGAATATTTTGAGGGGTAATGAGTCGGTGAGGCTGTTGTGTAATATAACTTGCGTGGCTGTTTTCGTCGAGGTGTTACCTTTTAGCTCCCGCAGTGAAAGTATGTGAAATTTCATGTTATTGTTATAAATAGACTAGGAAGAGGGTAATTGCATCGTATGGCTGTTATGTGACAGAATTTGCGTAGACATTCTCATCGAAGTATTGGCTCTCAGCTCCCAAAGAGAGTGTAGGAAAGCTCGTGCCATCGCCACCTATCGACCAGGGGCAATCGGTGAGGCTGTTGTGCAACACAGCTCGCGTCGCCATTATCGTCGAGGCGTCAAGCAAACTCTCCACTCGCTATTTTCCCCAAGTGTGACTTTGTGGAATGAACGGTTTGTAAATCGTTTCTTTATCTCAAGGTGTGTTTTGATTCAAACGATAATTTAGTTATCTTCAACTGTAACACAGGCTGTTTCTTCCACCCCACACCATTCACAGAGCAAGAAAAGAAATAGAGTTTCATATAAAGTCGAAGATCATCGTCATTTCTCGCCGTTCATCAGAAGACAACTCCGCACAAGTACCGGTACAAGCAGTCTCTCATCGCCAATAATACCAAGTTAGCACTCAACTTAGAGAGGGCAATAATTCACTTAAGCCAAATTTGGATCTAGAGGCCATCATGCCTGCTCAAGAATCAAGACGCAAAAATCCTGCCCTTTCTTTGAAGCTTGAGGCTTTCACACCGGTCAAAGATACCAAGACTCAGCCGTGGAGGCTCTATGCCAGCCCCAGCTCATCAACTACGCTCAAGACACTCGCGCCGACTTCCCGAAGATTAGACTTCAATCACACAAGGACGAGCATGGAAGCATGGGAGGTTGATTAATTCATTTGGTAAGGGCGCATAACATTTAGAACCAACCCCTGCTTACTCGGTTTAGAGAACAGTTTCATTCTCCATTGCCTCACTGCCCATTTTGGGGATTTTACATTTCATCTATTTATTGTTCGCTACCTCGGTGGAAGGAATAAGAGTTAAATGTAGATTTATAGAACAGGCGACGCACAAATTTATATATCAGGCACTAGGAGTTCTTATAAGCTTGCAGTTTATCATCATCGAATTATCCCGCGGACCAGTGAATCAAGGAGAGCTTCTGAGATCTCTGCCGATAGATCTTGTTGTGGTCTCAGTGCTTGCACGAGGTCCCGAATTTCCTTCTCCAACTGACTAATTTCGTCCGTGTTCTCGACGCCCATCGTCCTCAGCGCTTTGCATAGCATAAAACGGACGCGTCCAAGTTGAGAGCTCATCGGATCAGCTGATCGAAGTCTCCTGATTGATTCGCGAAATATCTCTCTGTAAAACATTAGTTTTGTTACATCTATAGATAATATTGTAGAGGCTGATAGGAATGGGGTGATAGCTGCTCACATCGCATCATTCAAATCTCCCTCTTCCAAAGCAACACGCCCGATCTTGTAGAGACAGGCCGCAGCATCTGGGTGGTGCCTGACTTTTCCAATCTCTTCGTACTGCTTCAGAGCATACAAGAAACTCTTTCTGCTATTCTGGAAATCTCGCACAGCAAAATGGTAGTTCCCCCAAGCAATGAATAGGCTATAGTCGAAACTCATTAGCTTTCTATTAACTTGAGTGTTTGCAAGCGGCTTACTGTCCAATGAAAAATCAATTATTGATGCTTTCGAAATACTGCAATAGCCCAGGAAATAAATCCTTTGCCTCTTCAAGCCTCTTCGTGGCCAAAAGCAATCTCAACAACACCATGTCTCTCTTCTTAATTTTGATGTCTCGGGACTTCGATACTGGGTGCTTCCAGCAGATTTCCAAAGTGTAACAAACCGGTATCTATATGTTAGTATAAATAGTGTTTTCCAAGAGATAAACCTTTAAACTAGTTCTAGGGTTTATATTAGCGGAGCAGTTAGGTTAGTAAACGGGCAATTTTATTATTAGCTAATATAAATAAGAATAAATATCTAGGTTTTAATCTAATTTATATTATAAATACTATAGTTATAATAATAACTAATTATCTAAGTATTTTAATAAGTAATATAAAGTAAACTTATATACCTAGTTAGCTAGGCTAGATTATTTAATAAAAGTTAATAATCCTATAATAGATTATCTTATAGCTTTAATAATCTGCTTATAGATTATTAGATTATTATAGTAATCTAATAATCTATTCCTAATTAGTAGGTTGGTCTATTGTTTATCTAAAATTAGTTATTCTATAGGCCTATTATTATAATTATAAAAGCTAGGTTATAATATAATATCCCCCTTCTGTTAGTCTTATCCTTAAAACCTTACTTATTTAGGTATAAGTAACTTATTCCTACTTTATAATATATTTTTTACTACTTAATCTTTATTCCTATGTATATTAACTTACTTAATAATAATAAATAAAGTATTAAAAAGTATTTATCCTAAAATTAAAAAATATAAAAGTTTTTTTTATTCTATAGTTAAAAATACTCTAGCTATAGATAAGTATTATTTTTATTATATATTATATAGTTATAAAAAGTATTTTTTATCCCCTTTTAACTTATTATATTATACTAAATATATCTATTTAAATAAATCTTATTATAATATTTATAGTTTATCCTTTAAGTAGTTAAAGTATATTACTACTTATTATTTCTATTTAAAAAATAAGCTTAAGGTAGCTAAAGAGAAGCGTTATACTGCTAATATAAAAGTTAAATATTTTTATAAAGAGAAGAAATATTAATATAAAAAAATATATTATACTATTATATAAGGTATTACTAATTTAAATAAGTTAAATAAGGTTAAATATAAGGAGGCAGAGGTTGCTTATTAGGCTACTATAGTATAGTTAGTAAAGGGTTTTTTTAAGGTTATCCTTGCTTCTTTAGTATTAAAGGGTTATTTAGAGATATTAGTAATAAATCCTAAGTTAGTGTAATCCCTAGGCTTTAATAGAGTTTTTCTACTAGTGTTATTAAGTTTTTAAAATACTTAATAAGTTTTTATATTTCTTTTTTTTCTTTTCCTTTTTCCTATTATACCCTATAATATTATTTACTATTTTTTTTTATTTTTATTATATTAATATCTTTTACCTTATATTCTTCTTTTTCCCTTTTAATAATAATTTTATTTTAGATAAATCTTTTAGTTTTTTTATTAATTTATACTTTCTTTAGTAGGGAAATATAGAAAATTAGGTATATATATTTCCCTTATTTTTCTTATTATTCTAAGAGTTTAAGTTTATAATTTACTTTTTTAATTTTTCTTAAGATTTTATAGGGTTTAAGTTTCTTAAAATTAAGTTTATTACTTAGCCTATTTATTTTAATATTTACTTATTTATTTCCTTGCGTATATTAATATAACTAAACTATATCCCCTCCCTATAGGGTTAGTCCTTTAATTTTATTTCTATTTATATATTTAATTATCCTTTATTAAATAAATTTAAGTTATTACTATAGTTTATTATATAATTTAATTATATCTTCTGCCTTAATTATAGCTTTCTTAATATTTTCCCCTTACTTTAGTAATTAGTAAGCTTTAGGTTTAAATTTATAATTTAAGAAAAATAGTAATTTCTTAGTTAATTCTAATTCTATGCTATTATATATAAATTATATAATAAAGAGGAGTTCTACTTAGTTATTTTATTTAAAATTAATATAATAGCGTAGGTATATCTTAATTACTTAGTTAATTCTTTTTATTTATTTATTAATTTATAAATAATAAACTATACTAGCCTTATAATTTATTCTTAGTCTAGTTATAAATATTTTTTAAAATTTAAATATAAATATATTTCCTTTATTAGAGATTATATCTCTTAGTAGTTTATAATTACTTATAATATATCTTATTATTATATAGGCTAGTTTTTTTATATTACTAGCTTCCTTAAATAATATAAAGTAGGCTATTTTTATAAGCTTATTAACTATTACAAAGATATTATTATAAAGTACCTTTATAACTAGTTCTCTTAAAGAAAGTAGCTTAGTAATTAAGTTAAATAAGATTAATTTTTATAATCACTATAGTATAAGTAGTAGTTATAGTTATTTATATAGTTTATATTTAAAGCTTTTAGTTTATTTATATATTATATATTTTAATATAATCTTTTATACTTATATCTTAATATTATTAAATTTAAAATATTATTTAACTTATTATATAGTTTTTCTAATTCTATAGTATTTATTAAGCTTATATATATAAACTAATTTTACTACTTTACTTTATAAGTCTTCTAATACTTAAATAAGTTTATTTAATATTAGGTATTTAATATCTATAGAAATACTTTCTAAGTATTATTTATTTTCCTAGTTTTTAATATATTCCTTTATATTATTAATAATTAAATTATTTATCTTAATTTAGTATAAGGTATTAATTAATTAAATTACTAGGTTACTATATTAGTTTTTTTTTAATATTTAAGCTTTTACTTCTAAGATTTCTTAAAAGTAGTTTAAGTATTTGCTAAATATATTAGCATATTTATTATCTAATCTACTATAATATTTAATAATAAGCTTAAATTTAGAAAATTACTTATAATATTTAACTTATTTATAGGATAATTCTTATATTATTATAAAGTAAGTAATATTTTAGTAATTTATAAGAATTATTACTAAAAATTAACTTTCTTTATAATAATATCTTATTATAACCTAATCTAACCTCTTATAGGATCTAAGATAAGTATATACCTAGAATAAGGTTGTTTTACTTTAGCTAATAATAAGAAGAAGCGCTGGCCTTAAATAACTAAAGCGCTTTACGTAATTACTCCTTAAAGTAATAGAGTAATAGGCTATATTACTTTATAAAGGAATAATTTACTATATAAGAATAAGATATTTATATTTATTAAATAGCTTAAATAGTTAGTTATTAATATAATAATAAGATTAATCTTAGTATTTAACTTATTAGCTATATAATAAAATTACTTAACTTATACCCTACTGCCTTTATTAATATAAACTATAATTAGTTTATTACCTTAAGAACTACGCTATATTATTAAGTATAAACTAGTTTATTATATATTAATAACTCTTATTTAAATTAGTACTATATATTATTTAAGTAATAAAAAGTATTATAGCTTCTTAAATCCCTAAACCTACTATTACTTTTAAAAGCCTTACTATAGCTTTAAAAAAACTTTAAGTATAAAATAACTAACTAAAAAATAACCTAAAGTTAGCCTAGGATACTAAAGCTACTAAAATAATTAAACTTAAGTAACTAAGATTTTTTATTAAAAAAACTAGTACTTTATAAACTTTTTTTAGTTAACTTAAGGTTTATTATATTATTAATAATAAATAATTCTTAATTATTAAAAGTAAGATTTTTTATACTTTTAGTTATATAAAAGGAGCTATACTTAACTAGTTTAAATTTATTATAAAAGACTATATTAAAACTATAGATATATTCTATAATAATAAAACTATTTATATTTTCTTAAACTATATAAACTTTAAAATTATACTTTAGTTAGTTTTTAAAATAATTAATAAAGAATAGGTTATTAAATAAAAACTTAGGGATTTTTACTAAAAGGGGGCTATATTTAAGTATATTTCTTAGTTTATATAAATTTTTTTAAAGCTTAAATAGAAATATAAACCCTTAATAAAATACTTTTATAAAGGATTAAAAAAAGAAGTAAAGGATAAATTATATAAACTTAACTATTTTAATACTTTTTAAGAATATATAAATAAAGTTATTAAAATTAATAATAAGTAATATAAGTATTAAAAAAAGTATAAGGGGAAATTATAACTTTTCCTATTATATTATTATAAGGCTAACTAAGGTAAGAAATAATATAAAGAAATTACTTATACTTATAAAATAAACCCTAGATAAATAAACCTTAACGCTATTACTAAAGGGAAAAAATTCCTTTATTATAACTATAGTAAAAAAAGCTATATAGCTTAAAATTATTAATTTAAGAAAATTAATAAATTATAAAAATAACTTAAATAAATTATTAATACTATTTATAAATTTAAGTAACTACTAGATTAAGAATATAGTAATAATAAAATCTTTAACTTAAATATAGCTTAAGTTATAAAGAAACTTAAACTTAATAAACTAATATAAGCCTTAGTAAAGAAACCTACCTTAAGAAAGGCTAATAACCTTAAAAATATAATATTTATATATAATACTATACCCTTACTAAAAATTACTAATATTATTATAATTAATACTATACCTCTGCTATAGAATATACCTAAGGTATAGTAATATATATAAATTTACGTAATATTACTTATAAACCTTAATTAAATTAATACCTTTAAGGTATTTAAACCTATAGTTAAAATTCTTAGAAAAAATAACCTTAAAATATAATAATAATTTATAAATTAGGAAAAAGTATAGTATAATACTTACTTTACTAAGGAATATAATTATAAAAACCTAAAATTATATACTAAGTTTTACTATAAAACTTATATAATCTCTAAAGTTTAGGAATAGTATACTTAATAATATAAATCCTTAAATTTTAAAAAATATAACTTAATAAAATAATACTAATATTACTATT